TTATGATATAATCAAGGGAAAAACGTTTTTCATATTAAATGGGGAAAGATATTGTAATAACCAAATTGTGTTACTACCAAGTTACTACCAATCAATCTCACCGTGAGATCGATTTTGTTAATCCAACGGTTATATTTATTTACATCTTTGTATGGTAATAATTTCCCAAATTTAATATTGAATATTTATTTCCACCTTTGTATGGTTATGATTTTCCATATTTAATGCTTTCACTTTAAAACAAGGGTTCGCTTTTTCTGCAGTTATTGCATATAAGTTATCTGCAGTGAGCCCAATACGACGTCGTTTTGGGACGAAAATCATGGTATTTTTGTAATTTTAATTTATTTCAGGGTTATTATAGTTTTTATAATTATAATTTTTTAATCTTTCAATCCCAAAACTATAATTATCTACGTCGTTTTGGAAGTAAATGCTGATAACTTATCTGCATTAACTGTAGAAATATCTTTCTATAAAAAAAAAATAGTAGAAAAATAACATGGAACTAAAACCCTCAAATCAATTTTCGTTTTACATCAATGAAACAATATTAATTTAAAGAAAGATTAAAACTTTCATAATATGAACCCCATATTTCGTAACAATACATTTATGAACGAAATAGATAACTCAAAAATTATTTTTCAATGTATGAAAGCATTTCAAACAATTTTTATGTCAATAGATAACTCAAAAATTATTTTTCAAAAGCCCCAAAGCAATTTAAGGTTTCAATGTATCGATTGAAAAAAATTTGAGAAATTTTATAAACTTTCATATAATAAAATCCAAAAATTCAGATTTGAAATTTTCTTATGCATATGATATATGGTAAGAAAACTTTGATCACATAAAACAAAAACTCCAAGATTTTCAAGATCAATTGCAAAAAATTCCAAACAAAAATTTATCATGAACTTTAGGTTGTATATGCAAATTTAGAATTATTTTAATAATTAAAAAATTAGATTTTATAATCATATATGCATAGCTTTGATACTAAATGAAGAAGATAATTTTCAACCCATTGGTCAAACCCAAGAGCATAAACGAGAAAATGTTAATGCGTGGAGAACTAGTATAACTTTAGATATGTGAAGAGCTGTTGCTTAGTAATTTTGAATGTTGCTTACCAAAAAAAAAATTGAATATTTGTTAAAAATTATATTATGTTTTACTGATTGAGAAAATTATATTAGGTTTTATTTTTTTTATTAATTTCATTGCATTTCTTTGTTATTTTTTTATTGACTCTTGTAATTTTGAATGTTTGTTAAAAATTCATACAGTTTTTTAAAATCTTATAAATCCATATTTTTTTTTTCAAATCTTTTAAATTCTAATCCTTTAAAATCCAATCTTATGAAATCTCGATTGTAAAAAGGTCTTTTGAAAAAGTCTTTAAAGTCCGAAAAAGTCTTTAAAGTCCCTCCAATTCTAAAATATCTTTTAAAATTTGATTTATCTCAAAAAAAAATCTTTTAAAATCTTAATCAATACAACTAGGGGTGTAAATGGGTCAGGCTGGCCCAGCCCAGCCAACGACTCGGCCTACATTGAGCCCGGTCCAGGCTCGACCTTTCAGAAAAGTAGAGTAAGGCTTAGGCTTATAAAAAAGTTTTTTAACAAATAGGCCATAGGTCAATTTTGTCAAGCCCGGCCTACAACCTTGTAGGCTGACCTATTTTATTTATTAAAATAAAATAACAAAATAATATTTATTTTATGTGGCAAAGACGCAAAGTACCAAATACCAATATCTCTTACTTTTTGTGCTATTTTATTTTATGAAAGGAAAACTTGTTTAATGTCTCCAAATTTTACATGTTGTTGCAGCATAATACCATGGAGTAATGAGTACCTTGCTGGATTATGATGTTACTGATGAAGATCTTTCAATAATACTCTTCTTTCCCTTGTCTTGATGGTGGTTTAAAGATTTTTAGATAAATGACATTCTCTTATAGACTTTATTTCAGCATCCGGTAATTGTATTTTTCTTATTTTCTCCATTTCTTTGACTCTATTCCTCTATGATATACATTTTAGAGCTGTGGGTATTATGTTGACTCTTTCTTGTTTGTCATTTTTTTTTATGAGAAGTACTAGTGCATGCATGAATGAAACTTTCTTTGCTCTATACAATTATTGTTTTTGCTTAGTATCTACAGTGGGAGGCCTACAAGGCCTGTAGGCCATGTCAGACTTTCTTATTTTTTAAAATGGGCCAGATTTGGCCTACAAATAAAACTTTTAATAAGCCAATAGACCAAATAGATTAATTTTTTTTTTTGACGTAGGCTTGGACCAAAAAGGCCAAAGCCCAACCCAAGCCAACCTATTTACAACCCTAAATACAACCCCTTATACTTAACCTAATCCCACCCTTTATTTACTTGTACCCTCTACCCCATCACTTCGCTGACAACCATCCAGTTTGCAAGTCTCTGATTTCGAAAGTTGTGTCTCAATTTCACACAAACACGTGGATTCACAAATTTACTTTGCAGAAGTGCGATTCGCGAGCAGAGAAGAAGGTTTGGTGTTACCTAGTTTGACTCTTTGCATTGAGTTTTTTATTTTCTATCAATTCAACCTTTTTTCTTTAAAAGAAAATTGTTAGGATGAATAATCCATACAAGAATAGTAGGTGCTATCTCGGGATTTATGTCCCTTCTTTCTTCGTTGTAAACATCCAATGTTGCTTTCCATTTTTTTTTTGGAGTTACCCAACCCTAATTATCTCTTTGAGATTAGTTGAATCTCTCCGGTATTTCCACGAGCTTCGACTCTTTGAGCTGGCTATGGGACTAATCCGGAGTGCGGGGAAACAGTGATGGCTAAAGGTTCAGCTCAATGTAGGCCGAGTCGTTGGCTTGGCTAGGCCAGCCTGACCCATTTACACCCCTAGTTGTATTGATTAAGATTTTAAAAGATTTTATTTTTGAGATAAATCAAATTTTAAAAGATATTTAGAATTGGAGGGACTTTAAAGACTTTTTTGGACTTTAAAACTTTTTCAAAAGACCTTTTTACAATCGAGATTTCATAAGATTGGATTTTAAAGGATTAGAATTTAAAGAATATTTCTTATTCTTTGCAATGTATTCAAATTTTTAGTTTTCAGTTCCTTAGTTTCTTGTTTCAATTTGTCATTTATATGTTATGTTCTCTCGTGTCAATTTCTACTTTGGGTTTATAAACTTTTTTGAGAAATTTTATAAACTTTCATATAATAAAATCCAAAAATTCAGATTTGAAATTTTCTTATGCATATAATATATGGTAAGAAAACTTTGATCACATTAAACAAAAACTCCAAGATTTTCAAGATCAATTGCAAAAAATTCCAAACAAAAATTTATCATGAACTTTAGCTTGTATATGCAAATTTAGAATTATTTTAATAATTAAAAAAATTAGATTTTATAATCATATATGCATAGCTTTAATACTAAATGAAGAAGATAATTTTTAACTCATTGGTCAAACCCAAGAGCATAAACAAGAAAATGTTAATGCGTGGAGAACTAATATAACTTTAGATATGTGAAGAGCTGTTGCTTAGTAATTTTGAATGTTGCTTATCAAAAAAAATAAATTTGAATGTTTGTTAAAAATTATATTATGTTTTACTGATTGAGAAAATTATATTAGGTTTTAATTTTTTTATTAATTTTATTGCATTTCTTTGTTATTTTTTTATTGACTCTTGTAATTTTGAATGTTTGTTAAAAATTCATACAATTTTTTAAAATCTTATAAACCCATATTTTCTTTTCAAATCCTATAAATTCTAATCATTTAAAATCCAATCTTATGAAATCTCGATTGTAAAAAAATCTTTTGAAATTTTTTTTAAAGTCCCTCTAATTCTAAAATATCTTTTAAAATCTGATTTATCTCGAAAAAAAATCTTTTAAAATCTTAATCAGTACACCCGATGTACATAACCTAATCCCACCCTTTATTTACTTTTACCCTCTACCCCATCACTTCGCTGACAACCATCCAGTTTGCAAGTCTCTGATTTCGAAAGTTGTGTCTCAATTTCACACTCAAACACGTGGATTCACAAATTTACTTTGCAGAAGTGCGATTCGCGAGCAGAGAAGAAGGTTTGGTGTTACCTAGTTTGACTCTTTGCATTGAGTTTTTTATTTTCTATCAATTCAACCTTTTTTCTTTAAAAGAAAATTGTTAGGATGAATAATCCATACAAGAATAGTAGGTGCTATCTCGGGATTTATGTCCCTTCTTTCTTCGTTGTAAACATCCAATGTTTCTTTCCATCTTTTTTTTTTGGAGTTACCCAACCCTAATTATCTCTTTGAGACGAGTTGGCTTCCTCTGGTATCCCTACGAGCTTCGACTCTTTGAGCCTGCTATAGGATTAATCCGGAGTGCGAGGGAACAGTGATGGCTAAAGGTTCAGCCCCCTACAGTTTGCAAGTCTCTGATTTCGAAAGTTGTGCCTTTCCATCTTCTTTCTTACAGCCCTGTTTATATTTTGCTACTGCGTTTTTTTTTTTTAATACTACGATCTGAGTTTTCTAGGAGATGGTTGGGGGCAGCAGCTCCCAGATGTGGTTTTTGAGCTATTTATCTACTGAACTACTGAAAAATCATGTGCCCATGATTTGGGGTTTTCCGCTCAATTTTTTTTAACTCAAACCATATTGCTCAATTTTTTTTATTTATTTTGAAGAGATGCTTTTCTCCCCTTTGTGTTCTTAATTTCTACATTAGCCTACATAGTGAGTCTCATGTTATCCCAAAACCCGTCAAAAAGTCTCTGAGGATGATAAAAATAATAAACTTCGTTCATTCGAGTTGTCCATGCAGAAAATATATGGAGACCTGCTCTATTGTTCACATATTCGGCTGTTTTAATTTTAGCTTGATAGTAGGATACTGTCTTGTTTGCTTACAACTTTATTAACCGATTAGCTCCTTCTGTCTTCTGAAGCCTGTCCCGCCTTGAATCCGATTAAAGTAGCTCTGAAGGTTGATTAGTAAAATAAATTCGTTCCGCCGGATTGTCCATGTGGAAAATAGATGGAAACCTGAACTGAAGAGGCTTGCTAATGTTTATGTTTTTCTTCCTCTTCTCATTTTTCTATTATGATATTTCTTATTCTTTGCAATGTATTCAAATTTTTAGTTTTCAGTTCCTTAGTTTCTTGTTTCAATTTGTCATTTATATGTTATGTTCTCTCGTGTCAGTTTCTACTTTATATTTGAAAGGGTTTATTATGTCATAGGAGGGCCCACCGATTTTTATATATTAAAAAAAGCTTCAATCAGTCTACAGGACAGTAATCAAATGTTCTGTAACATGATATTTGATTTTTGAATATGTATTTTTTTTCTAATTATAAAAGGAAGTGGGGTAAATATAATATTAAAAAAAATACAAATATTATTATTGAATTTTTCTTATACTTTATAGCTTCCTTTTACCACTTTGTTTGGCTAACTTGATTCCATGCTGATACTTGGTCTTTTGATAAAGAGAACTGATTTTTATACACTATTTTTCTATATCTTTTTCATATATTAAATTTGTGAAATGACTTTTTCCTTTCTTTTTCACATAATTAATTTCACAGCATGTAACTTTTCCATTTTCAACCCTACTGCATCGTCCTATATCGATACAGAGTTCCTTCACACTAGCTTATCAATCCTGTGATCATAAGTAATGATCATTGACCATCAGAGCATGATAACTAGTACCAACCCTGACGGAGGCAAACAGACAGCATAACAGTTTGCAAGTCTATTTACAACCCTAAATACAACCCCTTGTACTTAACCTAATCGCACCCTTTATTTACTTGTACCCTCTACCCCATCACTTCGCTGACAACCATCCAGTTTGCAAGTCTCTGATTTCGAAAGTTGTGTCTCAATTTCACACTCAAACACGTGGATTCACAAATTTACTTTGCAGAAGAGCGATTCGCGAGCAGAGAAGAAGGTTTGGTGTTACCTAGTTTGACTCTTTGCATTGAGTTTTTTATTTTCTATCAATTCAACCTTTTTTCTTTAAAAGAAAATTCTTAGGATGAATAATCCATACAAGAATAGTAGGTTCTATCTCGGGATTTATGTCCCTTCTTTCTTCGTTGTAAACATCCAATGTTCCTTTCCATCTTCTTTCTTACAGCCCTGTTTATATTTTGCTACTGCGTTTTTTTTTAATACTGGGACAGGATATTGTGACACCCAAATTATGTTACACCACTCATGTGACACCAGTCAATCTCACCGTTATCCAACGGTTATATTTATTTCCATCTTTGTATGGTCATGATTTTTTAATGCATACATATAAATTGTCCAACAGAGGACGTGAGACCCATCCATGGCCTCAAACACTATTACCTTTGTGCCACTACAGATCTTATCATATACATATTACAAACACGTTTATTTCACTGAATAAATACATACATGTATGCCTGAATATCAAATGTACATACCACTTGTCCGAATAATCTTTCAAAATATATACAGACAATATGTAGCAAAGTGATCATACACTATGACCCCCAAATAAATATAAACATAGTCTCAAAAAATGGACTATCTGATGCACTACGTCAGCTCCTCTAACTCACCCTAGAGGGCTCTCCCACGGTGGCACTGCATGGAATCTGCTTTTGTTTATGGAGGAGATTTGACCTTTGTTACCTGTTGGAAGATTTAATCGATTAACTTGAAGATTTAATTGATTGGAAGATTTAATCGATTAACTTGAAGATTTAATCGATTAAATCATCAAGTTAACATTTTTTTTACCAGATTTGACCATTTAATCGATTAAATTTTCAAGTTAATCGATTAAAGAGAGGCAGATTGGTAGATAGTTTTAAATAAGGGACAAAATAATTATTAATTAATTAATGAAGGGTAAAAGGATCAAAAAGCCGGTAAAAGGAAATAAAGGGATTAGGATTTGGTTAAGATTTTAAAATTATATGTTTATTGAAAAATAATACTTTTTTTAAAAGAAACGCGAGGATTAGTTAAGATTTTAAAATTAAATGTTTATAAAAGTAATATTTAAATGAAAAAGAAATCGTATTGTTGCTGTTATAAGGATTAGGTTAAGATTAAGATTTTAAAATTAAATGTTTATTTTTTTAAAAGATTTTTTTTACAATTAAAATTTTATAAGATTGGATTTTAAAGAATTTTATTATAATTTATAAGATTTGAAAGGATAATATAAATTTATTAGATTTTAAAAAATCATATGAATTTTTAACAAACATCCAAAAGTTAAGTAGGATAATCAAATGAAATTTTTATATGCATAAAATTAATTAAAACTTTGTGATACATATGCATGCTATTAGTGTCAAGTGTGATGGAACATGTTATTCACATTTGAAAACTTTTATTTCATTTTCATCAATATTTTTAAAAAAAATTTATTAGAATTATTATATGAAGTTATTTAAAGTAAATGCAAATGTATTTATCCCTAATATATTCACATCCCAAGGCTGTTAAATACAAATTTGAATATAAAAATTGTTTGATGGCTCTTGTTGGCATGGTTAGTATAAAGGCAATGAGGGTCCTATAGAGGCATGATATTACTGTAGGTCTCTCTGATATATTATAATTTTTTTTGGTTAGTAATTTAGACTTGGACACATGAATAATTATTATTAAGATTTTTTAAATTTTATTTATTGTCCCTTATAAATTGAGTGATTTATAACAAGTGAAGTTGACCCGGAGGTGAATAGCGTACGCTTTAGTAAATCGGATAAAAAACTGAGTATTTTTTTTTAAGGGGTGGAGGTTGCGCAACCTGGACCGGAAGTCACAGTTGAAGTGGGGGGAGACGGGAAAACCATGTTTTCTCGGAGATGGTTGGGGCCAGCAGCTCCCAGATGTGGTTTTTGAGCCATTTATCTACTGAGCTACTGAAAAATCATGTGCCCATGATTTGGGGTTTTCCGCTCAATTTTTTTAACACAAACCATGTTGTTCTTGATATGAACCATTGTTTTGGAGTTGTTTTTATTTTGAAGAGATGCTTTTGTCCCCTTTGTGATCTTAATTTCATGTACATTAGCCTACATAGCGAGTCTCATGTTATTACAAAACCTGTCAACAAGTTTTTGAGGATGATAAAAATAATAAACTTCGTTCATCCGAGTTGTCCATGCAGAAAATATATGGAAACCTGCTCTATTGTTCACATATTCAGCTGTTTTAATTTAGCTTGATAGTAGGATAGTGTCTTGTTTGCTTACAGCTTAATTAACCGATTAGCTCTTGCTGTCTTGTCTTCTGAAGTCTGTCCCGCCTTGAACCCGATTAAAGTAGCTCCGAATTCAGTTCCTTAGTTTCTTGTTTCAATTTGTCATTTATACGTTATTTTCTCTCGTGTCAGTTTCTACACTATTTTGAAGAATTTCGCTGCTGCACTTATATATCCTTCCATAATGAGGTATTTATTCTCTCAATCAAAGCTGTATCAAATGGTGAATTCTATTGAGTAGAAGTGGTAGAATCTTT